TGGAGATTCTTGTGTCTACTTTCCTTTATGCCACTCGATGGCCAGTTGTTTTTATCAGCGTACCGAGCTCTACGTAACTTTGTGGAATCGGATGCACGAATGTGGATCACAGGTAGGATGAGTGAGAGCTACTGGTTGAATGAACATCCAGTTTTCATTAAGCGACTGCCCTTTACCGAGACGATCGGTGGAACGTCAAATTACTTTATCCATTCAAAATGCGTGATTAAACAGCCAGTGCACCCCCTCAAAACTCTATAAGTCTGAACGATAACAATGCTTCGACAGTTTAGCGCTGCAAAAAATTCCATGATATACTGAGTCGATTTCGTTTTTACTAAGCCTAAGCAGAGCGTTGGGATTACCAGACCAAACTCACATAAGTCAAACAACAAAAGTGAACAGGCTAGTGGCAAACTGTGAATTAATTTCCCTTCGGAATCTGTGACTACTGCCTCACTACATAACCCTAAAATACCACATCACCTGTCAACGAGGTGGCGTAGCAGCCGAAGGTTGTGAATAACAATAAGTTCTCTTCTTGTTTGTCTTTGGTATATTCGGCAACCCAATACATTTCACTGTAAAACTATCAGTTTTATTACATGATCTCAAATGTCCAAGCATGCGAAAGCGTCCAGTACGGACATAATTTCATTTCTTTTGTAGAAAGAATGCGTCAACTATTTCGCTTTGTCGAAAGCTATTGTTTTCCATAAACACAATGTATAACAAAGCGCCAGAATATTTTTACAACCTTGAGCTATACTCTTAAAAGTAATATAACAAGCTTGATCCAAACACATACCATAGTGGTCTAAGAACGATGATTGCTGTGACAGATGGTTCTCCATCTTTGAACAACTGATCTTCAGTTCCCCCTATTAAACCTCGTGATTTACAGCCGATTAGTTTGCGTATTCGGTTATCTCTGTTTTCTTGCTTCTAAACGAGTATGTGAAATGAGTGTACCTTGTTGCTTTCCGAACCGTATACATCTGGATCTCAGTGTTAAACCCACGACGCATCCTACCCTAAATCGATCTATTCATACAATTCATACACACCACACTTAATGGTCACAGTTCACCTTATGTTCAAAATAACAGTAACCTTCTTCGGGGTACGATTCTGTTTCCGTATTTTTCTTTACTTACTAAATAGCCACGATTTTTTGGTGTTTTGAACAACAAACTCGCATAGGATTGTGGCATGTTCTACAAGTTTGCCATCAGCGATCAGCTTATAAGTTTACGTTAAAAAGTGCTGCAAACATGTCAATGGAGCGCAAGTTGTCAGTTAAGGTAAAAATGAGCAAGCTCTCTTTGTACACTCCTTACCTGTTGTAGGAGAGAAAATTTTCACCTATGGTTCCGGAGATCGGCCAGCCTGATTAGTACTACCGAGTGACAACGGCTGGTTTAAAGAGACTAAGTTGGTTATGTCCAATACAAATTCACAAGCACAGTGCCTCATAAGAGTGTAAACCTGCATTCAACCTTCTATCTGGTCGAGAATGTAACCCGCTTTAGGAGGAACTCAAGTTCAGTTTGCTACGTTTTTTTCAAAGTGAGCTGTTCAAAAAGTCTACCTGACTGTGAAAGGGGCAATCTACCCTGAGTGTTGATCGAGGCATGAGATTTGTGTTCATTCATCTTCTATAGCAGTAAGAGTAACCGCTTCGCTGGTATGTGTTATGGGTTACTTTTACCATGCTAACCCTTTTGTGATTTTGTGATTATGACTTTGCGCGGCTTAGCCAACCACATACACAGCTATAACTGATCCTCATTTACTACGTCGATAGTATGTATCGGTTAGGAAAAAGCTTGACACGTTATGAGGTGTCTTCATACACTGACGCTATAAAGCGTTCGTAGACTGCAATATTAACGTCAGGGTTAGAATGGAATCTGATGCTTTGGACGTTGTTGTTGTTTACTTAAGATGGTGCATAGTAACTGACAGAATTATGCGGGAAAAAAACCGAAACTCGCATTTTTCAAAGTATGATAGTGTTCTACGGCTTGTTACATCTTTGGTGTCAAACAGAAAACGCGTTTACATTTAAGGGTAGTAAGTTAGAAGGTAACAACTAGAACAGTGTGAACATACTGTTGCAAACCATGGCTTCTGTAGTTTAATGATGTCATACATTTTAAGGTCTCTTCTTAACGTTCCAGATGGCAACAGTGCACGAGTAAACAGAAGAACGCAAGATGAGTTTCGATCATCATAATTTACAAAGTGAAATGATCCAAATCCTAAAAGGCCACAGTTTTAGACTGCTGGCCAACGTATAAGCAATCCAAATCCCTCATTTACCATATCGTGCTTTCTTTACAAGTTTTCAAGTTTACTGTCCTACAGTAGTTGCTGGCCAACAGATGAGTTGAAAATTAGAAAGTAGAACAGCCATCAGTAATTTGAGAACCGTAATCAGTGTTCGTTTCAGTGATAATAGAGGCTTCGTGACCAGCTCAGCAGCTGCCTGGAAATATCGGAGAATAGGATGGCTATTCGGATTCGCCGACATGAAATAAAAGAAATCGGTGAAACGGATGAGTATAAACTGTTTTATGGGTGACTTCCTACTTTTAACTTACAAATTAGTTGACCTACAAGGCGTGTAGGCACTTTGTTGCTGATTGCTTGGGTTTAAAGTGAAAGTTTGTAAGAATCAGGTCATAACCAGTAGCTTTCCTTTGTTTTTAAATTGAGTTTTGTGTTCAGCATAAAGGTATAGCAGTTTGGCGATGTATTACAGTTCTTCAGGATATGATCATGATGATACTGACATACCACGTCCGTTGGATGTTGATACACATCAGAAACACTTAAAACTACGTAACTATTGATTACTGGGTAATCGCTTGATACCCATCCCCATAAGCGGTATTCTAACACATCCATCATCGCAAATGATTTGTTTCTTATCTGGAGCTGAATAAGCTTTGAAATTCTGGGCAAAAATATCACTTAGTGACGGGAACATTAAATCTGTCCACAAATTACGCGGCGGTTGCGAGAAAGCCACAGATGAAGCTTAGTTTTTTACAAGGACGTAAAAAATAATTGTCACGGATGTTTGCTCTACAATGAAAAATTCCATTGCACGTCCTCACCTGGAAACAAACACCTGGGGGTTTCATCCATACTGGAAACTTTTAACGTAGGTCTCTCAAGAGGGCCACGAGATTTAAATTGAACTCCTGCTCAATTAAGCTGACAGCATTAACTCAACTATCGATGAGTCACCAGCAGAATGGAGAATCAGTCCTAACCTGTAACAATATTCATGCTCCTGGTCCTTCACTTGACACCCTACCAGTAACCAGGTACGAACGATTATAGGGTTTTTCACTAAAACAGATTATTTTGTAGACCGGGAAGTTTCTAGTTCAAAGTGTGCTACTATGGAACGCACTGACTAATGCAGTAGTAACTGTAACCGTAAGGAGACTTTTCGAATCCTCTATTGTGAGTGCAGCTCAACCCCAAGAGCAAAATGGCTTGTAGGATATCCGCACCAAATTTAGTACGAATGAAGTCAAACAGTTTGGGCGTCGTGTTTAACATGTTATTGATAAATGGATTGAGAATAACACAACGTTACGAGCAAGTTGTAATACTCTACGATTACACTCGATTACTCTCGATTACAACACTCCTGAGGAAGGCCACCCGAGGTGGTTGAAACGTAGAGTATTACAACTTGCTCGTAACGTTGTGTTATTCTCAATCCATTTAGCAAAATGGCTTGTTTATGGAAGTGTCCCAAATAACGTATCTTTCTCGGTATTGCACTCAAGTTGTCAAATAGCTAACTGTAAAATTGGGATGCTCGCTCGAATTTTCAGGATATTCTGCTCTAATATCTTAGTCGCAATGTTCGACTCACTGGTAAGTCCCCAGTTTGACCGTATCATTCAAGTTTGTCCTCCGTATCTGATAAGGATGGTTCAGTGAAAGACGACAACAAAAATCAACACACTCATTTTGGCATTCTGTTCAGACCATTTTGGTTAAATTTACTCTAGTAAGAGCGAAACTCGAATCTAGTGCTTCTTTCCGAAAGGGCTCAACTAAAAAGTGTCTATGGGAATGTGACAGCTGCGATCAACTGTGGATGATGTTCAATCTATATGAAAACGAAACTCCCCTACCACTCATCAGCAATCAGATACCGCTCAACAAGTCAATGATTTCTGTGATTTCAACTTGGAGAGAAGTCCTAGTCGATGGGTTATCGATTGGAGTTAACAGACAGTAACTGTGTCTTCTCTCGAGACGATCGGGCAACCTGATCATTACTCATAAGCGAAAGTGGTTGAGTGTTCACATATGACAATTTGGTCGTGCCTAACGTGAGGTCAATGGCGCAGTGGTAAACACGGTTCCCTCCTGAAAAGCGTGGCCGGAGTTCTGGTCCCGGCAGTGGCAAGGATATGCACTATTGACTAGCTGCTCTAATGAGAGCGAAACTCGAATCTAGTGCTTGTTTTTGAAAGGGGCCGACTGGATGGTCTATGGGAATGAGACAGCTACGATCAATTGTGGATGATGTTCAATCTACATGAAAATCAAAATCCCCTACTGCTTACCAGTAAACCTAATCCTTCTGCGATCTTATCAGTACATCAGAAGTGATCTGACTTTTCTACACGAGATCGTTCACAAACTCCGTCACCCGTTACGAAATATGCGTATGCTCACAGCAAATCATCAACCCAAGGGCAACTCGTCGAAGTGATAGCCTCAAATTCACCTGCTGACTTACGTACAAAGTTCATTGGCGTCTGAATACGATTGACCAGAATCGACTTGGCGGTTTGCTGAAACAGATTAACCAGTTGATGAATTCCTGCTCAGATTTGATGTACACGTTCATAACACTAAGGTTACACTTCCTCTTCGATATATTAAAGCTATTATCAATCGTTACCTGCTACAGTTAGCCAACTAGCTGGATGTAAATGAGATCCAATTGTGAAAAGTCAGAGCCTCGACTGGATTCGAACCAGCGACATAAACACCATGCAAAGCGCGACAAGCGCTCTATCAGCTGAGCTACAAGGCCATGTCAGGAGTTCGGAAATTTCACATTTGGACTCTTTTACCCACTGTCTCATATGGAGTCCAACAAATGATCCAGGAGATCAACTGCACCGACAAGATTTCTCGAACAACTCACGTTGGAACCCACCAACGCCAATGTTGAGCACAGAAATTGTATCACTAATAATTAGTCTGACAGACTTATGATTTTAGGTGAGACCCAAATGTGACGAGTCAGGACTTTGCCTGGATTCGAACCAGCTACAGTAATAACATGCCGCGTTTAGACGTAATGTTTCTGTCACTGGTGTGAATCCAGCTGAAGTCCTGGTTTGTCACAATTGTGTCTCATATAAAATCACAAATCTGTCAAACTATATATTAGTAACTACATGGTTGTGTACACTGTGGTACGTTTATAATAGCCTTGGTTCAGATGTAGTGTGATTTCTATTTCCCTTCTAAGTATCCCTTTTTAGATCATATACAGTTCTTATCTTCTCACATTCGTTAACCCTACCCATTTTACGTTCCATGGACTGCTTCCTAGTGAATTTATAACATTGTACTAGCAACAAAGGCGCTAGATGTACAATCTGAAAGGGTGATTTTCCAATCAACTGTTAGCCTCAAACAATTTCGAATTTTTATCTGATCTAATAATTCTCAAATTTACCTTGCTAGATAAACGACTACCGTATCCACTGGGTTGTACAATCCGCAACAAAATTTTAACATCAACCTTCCTCTTTATTTATAAACCTGTATTCTGTTTTTAATTTCAATGCATCCATTTGCAAAGACGAAAATGTAGTAACTGAACTATATCAATAAATACAAAATGAGAAGGGTGTGTTTGTATTCTTGACATTTGTTAAGAATAATTGAACGACGACCGTGGTAAAATGATAAATCCACCTTCCTGAATTGACAAATAGGACCAGCTGTTCCTGAATCTGTGGAGAGCGCCCATACAGCATGTTGACGTATTAATGTCAAATGGCTTCTACGTAATTGGATTCAGCTTACACAATTGATGTTATAGAATAGCTTTCATCTCAACCGTAGAACCTTATTTTTCTGCATCTTTGCATGCCTATCTGACAGGCGTACACTAGAGAGTTTCAATCGGATTTAGACGAGAACCATAGGTTGACCAGTCTAGCTTCATAGGGCCATGCGAAATATGCCAGGTTTTGTGAGGTGATGCATATGTACTGAGATAGTTTCGCTAGAAAATGATTTCCGCTCACCAATGTGACGTAATGAATTTCTTAAACATTCTTGCAACTTGTGTTAAAAGGAGTTGAACTTTTGTTCCCCCTGCCATGTTGCAGGTTCAGTTACTCTTGTAGCTATGTGTACACTACAAATAATCAGTGATCGTCTGTCAGCGGGGTCGTCACCAGAGTCTATTACCGGCTTTGTAAGATCACGCCGATTCCACAATTGTACATTAGAGTAATACGAATCAAATTTCCTTACATCGTTGTATATTACAAATTCTTGCCGAACTGGCTACCAGACACGAAACTGTGTGCAATGTAAATCACACCGTTTTGTTTCTGTATATGAAGGATACACTCTTTGACGTTTGGTCACCCAATCACCACATTTTGCCGTCAAGCTGTTTGGCGATCCACCACGAGGACAAGTTCATTCGCTTAAACACCGAACTTTGATGTTCTAAAAAACTATTCAGTGTTGCATACTTGACCATAGTAGAAGTAGATTTAATTTCATGCTACTGACCGCGTTTGACTAAAACCACAAAAGCCGCCCATCTTTGCCGCTGTATGAGTTCACTTGAGATCAAACACTTTGTCACGTGTACTTTCTCAGGTGATATCTGTTCGTGGCATGTGATTGTTTTTCCAGCACTGATGTGACTCCAAGGTCATGTGTTGTTTTTCAGGGTAACGTATAGTGACCATATGAGTGGTCAGCTTAAAAACTTCCGTCATTTCGAAAACGAATCAAAGTCTTCGGAAGTTAACAGGTAGCGACGTCAATGATTTAGATAATTACTGTTGTGGAATTGCATAAGACACCGGGAGTCTCAAACTTATACTGTTTTTTCATACCTACATACAAAGAGTAACAGAAGTAATGTGATATTTGTCAAAATCCTACTAATTGTTATATCCTGTCCCTTTGAGTTAACACACGTAATTGTTGCTGAAGGTCGATGAATCAATGCGAACAATGAGATGCACGTTAGGATAATTCATCGCCAAATATCAAGTGGAAGAAATCTAAGGGTGGGAGAGTTTAGTCACGGAATGAGCATCGGTCTGATAGATTTATTTCCGGTGAACCTATAACGTAATCAGATCCATGACAGTTCACTTCAACAAAATTCATCTTGCACACGATTCTCCCGGGAATAATTTACTCGGAGATCTACTAGGGTTGCAGGGAAATGTGAAATATAATTAGATTGCAATGAAACATGCGTACAAAAGAGGATTTTTCCAAACAATGCTTGGATGATATCGCCTGTAGGATGACCAATATTCAGATAAACTATGCAACAAGTCTCCCAAAGTAGATGTATCGATTCAGCTAGTATAATCTATGCAATTCCTTACCGGCGTTTTTGCAGTTATGTAGAATTTTGTGACGTTACGGATAGATCCAAGCTGCACCAAGATTTTGATTTAGTGGCCACCAGTTTGAGGCTGTACAATGCACTCGAGGGTATTTCGTTGAAATGCTATAACTATTATTTACAACGTAATCTTCAACAAAAAACCTTATTTCTACATAACCGTGTAAGCGAATTCTAGTTCAAGCGACAGAAAAAACGACCAGTTGTTCCAAATGGTTTCCATCAGTATGTATTGTCATAGAAAACAAATAACATTTGTGGAGGTTAACTGCCAGTCGTGAAAAAATGTTCTTAACGAAGAACAAGTTTGGAATATTCGAAAGGTCTCGAGAACAGTTGCGAAAAGATTAACATACTGGTACCCCCAAAGAATTGGACCTTTAATACATGTGCACTGATTGAAATACCAGAATGTAAGTATTATTATTTCATTCGATCTATCATTGATTGTAATCAGCGCTCCCACATTTTTTCTTTCAATCCAAAGATTAAACTGTGTATGAAAATCTATAGAACTCAATACTGTGAATATGCTCGGTTTAGTCATGAGAAGAAAACGCGTAGCAAACAATCTCGTTTTTGATGTTTTATCATCAGGCTAAATACAACACATTTATATGGGTTCGATAGGGGGTGGTAGATGACATAATACTGAAGCGAGAGATTTCAGTCAACAGTTTCTGTCTGGTTTGAGTCATGAGACTTAATTACATAACATTGACCACGTGAGTTGTACGAAATCTGCGGGAGATACGTCACATCTATGCAATCATTCTGTTCTGGGTTTGCGCACTCAATACAGTTAGCAAGTCTTCCGGACTGTTGGAATTAAGATCGATTTGTCATCACACTACTTTCTACAATTATTTGGGAAGATTAGTAGAAGATGAATATATTGATTACAATCGGGTTTTGATATTGTGCAATTAAGCCAAGTTGCGAGCCACACAACACTGATGGACTTTTCTTAACTGTCACAATTAGTGTTTTTCTTTTACTCCAAGAAAGCCAGTCTGTAGAGCATAAATCCGATTTCATTTGTCTAAACTGGCTGACCTTAATAGGAAACTGGGCAAATGCAGTGCTTCCTCGTCTTTGTTGACCACTTTACTTGTTACTTACCGGATAGCTTCTGAACCACTGACGGACGTCCTCCATTCAGTCGAAACACGTCTAGGTTATTCAAATTGATTATTCAGACCTGGTGAACTTGCCCGTTTCAGATAATTTCAAATGTTTAGAACGTCTGTTACCGTTCTTCACTTTGCAATCGTTTTCTATTCTGTCATTCGTTGTGTATCTGTATCTTTTCTCCAACTGAATCGCTTTGCCTCGACTGATCCGGTTATTCGCAGAACCTTCCGAATCCAATTTAGTCGATTCGTAGCTCGAAACTTTCCCAAAACGTGTCCCACAACCTTTAGGATCAGAAGCCTCAAACGTGGTTCCATGAATAATGTTATTAAGTTGAGAAGAGTTCATTCGTGTATTTGTGTACGCTGTGTCGATTCTACTGTTGAACGTCTGTGAAGAATACGTAATGAACGAGGCATGTGATACTTTGTGAAATCGGCGGTAATTCATGACGTCGAAGAACTTGTTGCCGTGTGTTACGGAGAAGGTTAAAGTATGTACACAGTTGCGCAACCAGTGTTCAGTTAAATACTGTCCGTAAATTATGCATTCTAAAATCGATATGTTTCCTCATGCACTGTAGTTGTCTAAAATTACAAAAACGCTTAAACACATCCCATACGAATTTGCGTCCTCTTTTCGTGCGTTTCTCATTTAATTTTCAAAGTACTTAAGCTTTTCTCATATATGTACATGAATGTTAGATAGCAAGAATTCTCCATGAACTATCTTCTTAAACTTCCTCATTTTTAGTCTTGATTATAACAACGATCTGGCACAAAATAATGCGATAATTGAGTCGTAAATATTGTAGCAAGTTCCCTCACCTACTGTCTGTGTTGAAACTAGCAAAAACTTTAATCTCCGTCTATATTCGTTTGACGCACGACTTTTTATACCATACTAATAAATACTGCTATTAATCTTGATTGTCAATGTGAAGTAGATAGGTCAATTTCAGTGTTCTAGGTTATGTGATTGACCACAAAGACAATTGAGAATTATCGGAAATGTTTAATATTTTCGATATGCTTGGTGTGTTTTTGTGTCTACAATCAAACCTGATAGAATAACTAAGCTTTCTTTGATGGTAATGGACTACATTTGAAGAACGATCCTGAAAATCAATATCAGCGCCTTTTTTATTACAGCAACAACGCAGTATTTCTCAATTATTTGCTGCTGTTTCTCATCATTTTTTCAAGCAGATCAGCTATAGTATTCTTTCGAACGGGGTTGCCTATAAGTGGGCATCCAGTTGACATTAATTTAGTTTT